AAGTCAGTGCTGACACATGCCACACATCCATGAGCCTCGGGGACACTGTGCTAAGGGAAACAAGCCAGTCAGCACAAGGAGACAAACACTGTGTGACTTCATTGCTGTGAAGTATCAAGAACAGTCAAACTCTCCAAAACAGAAAGTAGAAGGGTGGGTGCCAGAGACTTGGGGAAAGGAAAGATGGGCAGCTGGGTAATCAATGCAGTTTTAGTTTTGCAAGGTGACAAAGTTCTGGAGGAGGTTGCACAACAAGTGACTATTCTTAATCATGTTAGCTGTACACAGAAGAGTGACAAAGATGGTAAATTTTATGTTGTGTCATGGTTTTAAAAAGAGGGCCAGAGATTTAGTTCAGCGGCATAAGTGCCGGCTTGGCAAACGTGAAGTTGTGAGTTCGATCCCTGGTACCAAAAAACAAAAAGGAAAAGAGAAAGAGCATGGAGACTTAGGAGAAGATAGGATGGAGCTTGCTGCTTGGTAGCTCTTGGGCTTTATATTTACACATTATATTGTAATATATAAATTTATTATAAATATATAAATATAGCAGGAAAATAGATGCACCTTCAGACCATAATGTTAAGTGAAATAAATCAAACACACAAGCTTACATGTCATATAACTTCTCTTACATGAGAAGCCTGAAGTATAAATAATTTTCAAAACAAAGTAAAATTATATTATAAATTATAACATTATATATTTATAATTTTCCTACTATTATATATTTATAAGTGGGTCTCAGGTCCCTTTTAGGCTCAGAATGGTCCCTGGATCCCTGTCCAGCCTCCAACCACCAAACAAATGGGCAAAGCTGGTTCTAAGGTGAATCCCTAGGCCCTCATCTTGATCTCAATGGAGGTAAAAGCCCATTCACCTCTTTGCCTCATTACTGACTAGTACTCCTTTGGGTCCTAACTGATGCTCCAGGGACCAGCTCTAAAATACGCTGGAAGCAGGGCTTGGCTCTCTGCTGCGAACTTTATGAACTATCTCCTGGGCATCCCATACACCTGTCTCCCTGCTCCGCTCTTTGGGCACATATGTGTTGGGTTCCAGGTCCAAACAGACAGTCCCTTCCTTGGTGGTCTGGTGGGGGTACGGGCAGGTTATTGGGGGAAGGCAGTGTCTCATATGCAATGTAATACGTGCTGTGACACAGATGTCTAGGGCACCAAGCAGACGACCTCAGCCAGTCTGTGATGAGAGTTCACAAAAGAAGTTCAGTCTTAGAAACTTGAAAGACAAACAAGCCTGACCCAGTAAAGTGGAGAGGAGGAGGCATGGGCAATTAAAAGGCACAAGGGCATGGGAACTCCCTGGAAGTTTTAGAAACTCAGAGACCAATTGAGGATCTGAAAACAACTGAGTCTGGCTTATTGTGGAGTGAGAGCAAAGCAGCGAGAGCTGAGCCAGAGGGAAAAATAGGGACCAGCTCTTGGACGGATGTTCAAGTGCCTTCAGAGCACTTCGTCGGGTGCTGAGAGGCGAGGATGTGAACACGCGTGTGACAAACCACAGCCGGAGAGGCGATGGAAGATGAGAAAGGGAAATCAGGGTGCTGGAGTTGACTCCAGGTCCAGGATTCTCAGAGCTATAGGCGAGATGCCCAGCCCTCTACCGTCCCTCACCCTAATGTCTCCAGGCAAACTGGTCACCCTGAAGGGCACTTGTTTTGGAAGGGGAGTGATTTTCTTGAAAACAACCCTAGTATGCCTCCTCAGCCTTGCTGACCCATGACCTTCGGTCCTTGAGAACATCTTTGCTCTCTTCCTCCATCAAGGACTTGACCACAGTCTCTACACCTTGTCTTCTCTCTTGTAGATGGAGCGGTCCCAGGGTTTGCAATTTACACCTGGTCTGGTAGGTACAGCTATCCCTGCCATGCCTGGACCACTCAAGACCCTGTGGGCTCCAGGCCCAGGCTCTGCTCCCACCAGGTGACCCTCATTCTAGTCCAAGCCTCCTAAACACCACCTTGAACACAGTCCCAGCCCAGCTCTGCCTCCTTATCAGCCATTTGCTTCCGAGGACAAGCTGCTCTCACAAACCGGGCACATTTCAGTCCTAGACTTTCAGTTGTTCTCTGATGGGTGCTCCTGGAGGGTCAATGGGCAAAGTACAAGGGAGGTATTTCCAGGTTATGACTTCTCTTGAGATAGCACGGAAACTTGTTATAGGCAAGTTTCCAGCAAGGACTGCAGGACAGCTCCTTTCCTGTGTCCTGTGGACTGTTCACAGTCCATCGGGATCCCTGTTATTAGTAATTGAGGAAGAAAGGGTAGGGCAAACCAGGAACTGAACAGAGCCTGGCACAATGGGGCCTTGTGATTGTTGGGTAAGGGGTAAGTTCTTGCACTGAGTGTGACAGCTGGAGGCTTTCTGCTGGCCTTGGGACACTGACTTCAAGATGAATTCATCATGGAGGGGGACTTGGTGCTGCTGGTGACGCAGTCCCCCAGCATGAAGCCTCAAAGAGAATCGGCAAAGGTCTCAAAAGCCTATGGCTTTGAGGAGGGCCACAGGAGGAGGCCAGGGGTGCCAAGAAAGCAGCGGCCAGCTAATTTGGAAACACTGAACTTTGTCTCACTCCAGAGCGTGGAGGGCTGCACTAAGGGCATGGACAGTCTGGGAAATGAGCCCAGGTTTTGTTGCTTGCTCAAATATTAGGTGATGCTGCACAAACACCCCACTGCTCTGAACCTACATCACAGGTTGACCTGGAGAGTTACATGAACCGGGATGCAAATTTCACACATGGTGAATGTTGTTTCTGGCAGATAAAGCCCAGCCTGGTGGCTCTGGTGGCTCCTCCAGAGCCTCAGGCCATGGGAGAGGCCTCCTCCTGGGGAAAATAGAATCAGGTATTGTCCTCCATGTCTGAAACCCTTTGTCCATTCCAGTGCTTCCTGGCTCTTGCTCATGTTTCCCTGAGCAGGTGGCAGGCTGACCGTGTGGGAGTGAATTGGGACTGGGGCAGGTCTGTCTGTTACCTAGCTCCCCACCCTGCCGTCCTTGGTTCTGGATCCATCCACACTACTATGACCACCCTGCAGGGGGTTGGAGGTCTGTCTCACACAGACCCTCCTGGACCCAAGGAGGACCTGGTGGCCTAACAACCACACTATTGTACACCTGGAAATGTGGTTATGGGCTCCCAATCCTTCCTCCCAACCATAACTGCACATACTGACCACAGGGAACCGTCTGTTCTCTGAACTCCACATGCTTCTATGTCTTTGCCAGACTGTCTGAAACAGTCTCCCTGCATCTTATCTTGGCACACACAGATCACCACACTCTGATGACTATCAGAAACATGAATCAAACCCCTTCTGTGGGCAGATCAGGGCAGGAGAGGGTGAGGGAACCAAGAGATAGAAGCTTTGTCCAGAGAGATGATGCAAGCGTCTTCCAGACCACCACCCACCTCTGTAACACACACACCACATGTGCACCAGCCGCCCTTCCAGGCCTTGGTTCACTCTTCCTGCTGAGCACAGCCTCCATCACACATGACTCTCAAGTCCTGGCCCGGATGTCCCCTCCTCCAGGCATCCTTGCTGCATTTCTCCAGTGTTCATCTTCTCCCTCAGAGCGCCCCTTCCCCTCGGGCACTACTTACAATGGGTGTTTGCATTTTGACTGGCTTCATCTGTAGGCTTCAGTTTCCTTATCTATAAAATGGAATAGGAACACCTATCCATGGTGTACTTGTATGGTCAGTGAGAGAATATATAAACAGCTCATACTAAGTGCCAAATGAATGTTAACTGCGATATGGACAGTAGAATTTTATTCTCTGTATCCTTAGTGGGAGCACAGGATCAAGGGCATAATTAGTGCCAAATGTTTGTCTGAAGGATGGATAAGAGAGAGACTGAGTATGTCTCCAAAATAGACAATGTGTGCATATGTTCCTGGGGATAGAACCCAGGGCCTTTGCACTGAGTTGCATCCCTGGACTTTGGGGGGTTTTTTTGTTTTTTTTTTTAGTGGGGATCAAACTCAGGACCTTGCACCTGCCAAGCAGGTGCTTGTGCTGCTGAGCTAAACCTCATCCTGTCCCTAGATCTTTAAAAAAAATTTTTTTTAAGTTTGACATAAGATCTCATTAAACCAATGAGTTGCCGGGTGGGGCTCAAACTTTCAATCCCACTGCCTCAGACTCCCAGCATTCTGGAATTACAGACTTGTGCCACCATGCCCAGCTGAGATAATCTTGGTTGATACCTTTATTCTATAGAAATGGGAAATGAGGTGCAGCATGGGGACCAGGAAGAACTGAAAGAATCTAAATATTTACACAGCAACTGTCAACATTCATAAATTGTCTAATCTGAGCCTCACAAGAAGAGATTGCTTATATTAACTGTTGTTATTCTACTGTTCTATTATAAAATTTTGCTTTCCTTTTTTTCCATAAAATTAAAAAAAGAGAGAGATTGCTGCAGAATGAGGAAGTGGCTATTCTGAGAGGTCAAATTAGTACATGAGTATCATATAGTGAGTATGACTTTGTCAGGACAGATAACTGACAGTTTCTTAACACCTGGAGGGAAGGGGCGGGCCTGTTCCAAGCCATGCTACCTTCACTCTAGAGGGCAAAATACTTCTATAGCCTAGGCAGGGGCACCCTTCCCAGAGTCCTGTGTCAACTGCGGAGCTGAGAACATGCAGTGGGCTGGGCTGCGTGGAGGACCTGGGCTTTTGCCCTATGGAGGCCACCTGGGGGTTCCCTGAGGACCTTCCTTCTTAGCAACAGCCCTTAGTAATCTCTGTGTACAGAAAGAGTTAACTCTGGGCTTAACTTCTTGAAGGAACCTGAAGCTTTTCTTCCTTGGTCTTTTCCCCTCCCATTCTTTGCAGTCTTCCTGATCTTTCCTCCTCCTTCAGGCCCCTCCTCCTTACTCCCACCTCCTGACTCCAAAAACACTCTGATTGCCAGGGTGGGTCAATGGTTAACACTTGCTGGCTTTATATAAGCCTGCCCCGGGCCACCTTGCCGGTTGGCCTGTCTCTGGTCCTTCAGTTCTCTGGCTCCAGGCGCCTCAGTTGGTTCACACAATGGCCTCCTGCTGGCAGGGCCTGTGGGCCTATCGCTCCTACCTGCTTGCATTACTTCTGCCCATTTTGCTACTGCCTCTGCCCATCCTCGTTCCCACCAAGGTAAGAACTTGGGGATCGAGGCACAGATAACTCGAGGGGGGGTAGGAGACTAACTGTCTGGGCCAGAGTGCGGCATCCTTAGATCCCAGCATAACCTTATCTCTTCCTGTATGCCAAAGGGGAGGCTATAACCTCCTGTCCTCCCAAGGGCTGAGGGCTTAAAAAGTGAAAGAGGCTTTTGCTTGGCACCCAGAAGTAGAAACCCCATGCAAATCACTCAAGTATATTGAAGATCCACTGCTTGGCAAATGGGAAGCCAGTTCTGTAAAGCAGAGGCAGGAGGGGGCAGATGGAGTTGATCTGCTTATCATGTGTCTACCCAGCCCTGGACTGGGCTCACTTGAGGTCAGAGAGAGGAAGATTGGTGGCCAGGTTTATAGACAGATGAAAGGAGATTAGGGAGAAACTAGCCTCAGGCAGTTTGTGCCTTCACCAATATAAAGGGAAGGAAAAGTTCACTTTCAATCTCGAGGGCTGGTTCCTGCTCCTAAGGAGGATGATGGAACCTGAAAAGAGACCCCTGTAATGTGCACAGCCTAGGCACTGTCCTGGCCTCCTGCCCTGCACCCAGCAAAAGTCAGAACTTTATCTCGCATTCATTTGAGCCTCCACTGCATAACCCATACTATGTACCCAAAAATCCTGTTCCCCATCCCACAAGGCAGATCCCACTGTCCCATTGTACAGATATTTTCAGAAAGTGACAGAAAGGCCTTTATTCAAAGTCCCAGGTCAGATCCTGTTTCACAGAGTTCGATTATTATATCCTTTTGGACTCCTCTGTGAGAAAAAGGATAGAAAATTATGAATCTAAATTAACCTATGACTTGGGGGGGGCATCCAAGAGGAGGGCCTTGGAGGTCATCTCCCACAAGCCCTTGGGCCTAGGAATGGAACATGCATGCTAAGCAAGCACTCTACCCCTGAGCTGCATCCCCATCCCCTGGCACTGAAGCTTAAGAGCATCTGCCTGTGACAAATCACACAGTTCGAAGTAGCAGAGAGTAGTGTGTGGCCTGGCTCCACAGTTGTGTTGTCTCCTGCCCAACCTGTGGCCCCTTGAGAGCTGAAACAGAATGGTGACTCTCTCCCGCTTCCGCCCCTAGAACTGCCCCTTGAGCCTTTCTCTGTCTTCTGTCACAGGTAGGATTAATAAAGGCAAACTTTTTGTTCATGGTGCCCCCAAAGGGTAAGGGACGAGGGTCATAGTAACACAGCATTTAGGCCCCTGACACATAAGGAGTGACAAGGCCTGGATGACCTTTCCCATCCTGGATGACCTTTCATCTCAGGCCAAAGCCAGTGAAGACTCTGTACTGGTTTGCCAGACAGGGTGGGTCAAGTGTAATAACTTTCCCCCCAGAAGAAGCACAGCCCAGAAAGATTCTAGCAACTTGCCCAAGGTCACTCAGGAAGACCTTGTACAGTGAGAAAAGCCATGCTTCTTGATACGGATGTGATATTTGAGAAGTCCTAATCTTCCGTCTGTTGTATTTGGCCCTACTGCCCACCTCTGTCTCCCAGATGCCACCTGCAAGGTCCTAACTCCAAGAACTGTCCCAAGAGGCCAACCTCTCTGCGGGGCTCTGGATACCTGCCCCTGCTTAGGACCCTGCTTGGGCAATTATCAGCTCTGTCTGCACCATCATTTTCTCCTCTGACTCCTCATCTCTTTCATCTACAAACAGACACGCTGTCGTTCCTCTTATCTTAAGCAGCAAACATGACACACCAAACCCTCCTTTCACTCTTACACTTTCATTCTCTGATCTCTCATGACTGCCAGCCTCAAAGACACCATCTGCAGTGCACATGCATTTTCCTTGGCCAGCGCCTGCCTCTGGGAGCCAAGTCCTCGCCCCCGTTCATGGTGCCAATGCTGAGGTCCATTCTCACCTTCCTCAGGCCCTTGGCAGCATTTGCCATAGCACACTCTTTGCCTCACTGGCTTCTCTTGGATTTGGTGACACCTTCCCCTGATTTTTCCTCCCAATCTTTCCTGGTCCCTCCTCCATCGGAAGTTGAGGTTATCTAGGGTTCCTTTTGCCTATCTCCCAACCCCTTGATCTGATGGTGTCTCATACCATAAAAGCATCTCTATGCCTGTGAAATCCCAATCTGTGAGCCCAGCTCTAGTATCTACTGTTGAGTCAGCCAGCTAACCAGGAGAACTTTCCCCATGAGCATATTTGCATGATAAACAGCCTCCTTTTCTCCATGTCCAAATCAAAACCTGATTGCACATTCTTCTCCAGCGGGCTCTTCCTGCAGTCTTGCCAAGAAATGCTTCAGCCCTTGTGGGTGATAGCCCAAAACTCACAAGTCGTTCTGGAGTGCTTGCTGTCCCTCAGCTCCATGTGTACCCGCAGGTCCTGGGCACTCACTGTCCCCAGAACACTGCAGATGTGCCTGACTTAGGATAGAATTACATCCCCATAAACTCATCCTAAGTTGAAATTTTGTAAGTAGGAAATACATTTAATGCACCCAAACTGCCACACCTCAAGCTCAGCAGCACAGGCACTGTATGCAGAGCGCTGTGACACACATGTGTTGCCCTGGTGGTCTCAAGGCTCAGGGAGCTGCTGCTTGCAGCTGTCACTGCTCAGGATCACTGGAGAGGATCTCATTGGCCTAGGGAAGATCACATTTTGAAGGTGGCAGTATGCTTTCTATCCAATACATGTTGTTTTCACACCATCCTAAAGTTTAAAAAAAAAAAAAATCCTAAATTGAGAAAATTTAACCTGAACTATCCACACTCTAAGTGGAATTGGTCTATACCTTGTCTTTTCTCGCCTGTCCTTTTCCTCCCCAAACCTTTGTTACCCAGCAGTCAGAGTGATCATCTCAAAGTCTTACATACTACTTATCACTTCTCTGTATATAACCCCACACCAGCTTCCCACTGAGATTTGAATTAAATCCAAGCTTCTCCGCAGGTCCTGGGTCTCTGCGGCTCCACCTGTGCCGGTCCCCAGGCTCCGTCCGCCTCTCCTTTCCTTTGCTTTGCCGGCTCTGCAGCCTCCTCGCTGCTCTCCGATTGCTCAGCCCCCACCTGCGCCATTCTCCCCAATGCCTCTTTCTTGTTTCTCAGGTTTCCACTTAAATCCAACTCATAAAAGCCTCTCCGGAAACCTCAGTCACTCTCATTAATACCCTTGTTATTTTATTATAAAACATTCACAATCAGAGTTATATATTTGTTTCCTTTCTCCTGCCTTAGAACATAAGCCCAGAAGGCCAGGGACCCCGTCTTACTCTATGCAGACTCCTAGGCCCTGGCATATAGCAAATGTACCAAAATATACTCGCTGAGTGAATAAATGGAGGAAGGGAGATCCTTGTGGGCAAAGAAGATCCTTTCTTGAATTCCTGTTGAGTCTGTGCCGTCTGTATTGAGACTCTAAGCTTAGGCCCATGGCCCAACCTAGAAAGAAGGAGCCAGACACTAGGCTCCGCCTTGCATCTGTAATAATAATTGATAGGTACGGAGTATATTTTGTGTGCTTTAAATCGAGCTGAGCGCTTCAAATCATTATTAGCTCACTTACTTCTCACAAGAGCCTCTGTGTCTCTGTGAGATTATCACAGCTTTCTTCATTTCATGGACATGTAAAGTGAGGGCCAGAGTGGTCAGGCAATGTCCCATCTAGAAGACAAAGTTGAGACTAGAACCTGGTTTTAAGATCTTTGTGCAAAGCTTTGTGCCCAGAAGTCAGATGTCCCAGTTATGACTCCTTCTTGGCTTCCATCTTCATGCCCATCCAGCTAAGCCTTCTAATCTTCCATCTCAGATGTTGTAGAGCTTTTCTTTTGGGCTAGGAGTTCCTAACAGGTGTCTTATCATCAAGCTTGTGAGTCTAGAGAAGACAGGTGTTTATACCACACAGAGAGGTAGCCAGAAAGCTGCAGGATTCACAAGAGGGAGCCAGTCCTTCCAAAGGATCCAAGTGAAAATCTAAAGCAGATGTCTTTGAGCAGGGCCCTGAAGGCTACATGAGATTTCAGCAGGCAAAAGTATCAGCAGAGGGCAGGAAGGAAGTGCAGGAGAAAATGTGAAAAGCTAGAAACAGGAAGAGTGTATCCTTGAAGTGCTGGTCCCTTCTAATGGTCTCAGATAATGGAGGAGGTAAAAGGCCAGACATCTCCTGGTTCCCCAGCCACGCAGCCAAAGCACCATCCATAGCCAGAAACTCATCCCTTCATCCATCCATTCATTCATTCATTGGTTCTTTCATGTACGGATGAACCAAGGTTTGGTACCATGTAATAGCTACTGCTTAGGGGTACCAGTGAGATGATGCAGGGAAGTTGGCAATCTTGGGGGTGCGAGGGGCAAAAGATACACAAAACCCATATAAGCTGCACAAGCCACAGAAATAACACAGCAGGTTGTGGCAAAGGATTGGAGAGGGGCTGTTCTCAATGCAGGGCTCAGGGAAGTCCTCCTGAGGGGCAGATGCTCACCTTGAGACCTGAGCAGCAGTGAGAGCTGGTTAAACACAGACCTGGGTGAAGAGCTGTCCAGGCAGAACAAGAAACAAGTCAAAGGGCCGGAGACACTGGGGAGCTTGGCAAGGGAAAGGGATAAACAAGGTCAGTGTGGGCAAAATTTTTTAAGTCAAGATCAGAGAAGTCTGTTAACGTCAGGCTCACGAGGCCAGGGGAATGAGCAAGAAGTTCATGCTGTAAGCAAAGAAGGATAAATAAGAGAGCTAATAAGTTAGAGTAAAAAATGCAAATGCCTCCCAGGACCTATAGGGACCACCTATATAAAGTCTCCCAGCAGCATGTGTTGGTCAGGACAGAGCTGCGCAAAAATCAGTATTGTGTATACAGTAAGAACAGAAGGTGACAGAATTTCTTCCTCTGAGTCACCTGCACTCCTGAAAGGCACAAATGGTATGTGTGCCCTTTAATGCCTGTGCCATACACCCTTAGTGCAAGCTGTTCCTGAAGTCCAAAGGGGGATTCTGATGATTCACTGCCGACAGGAA